CGTTGCGGCTCCTTGTTGTGTACCGATTTGTGTGTTGATTCGGCTCTATCCCAGTCTTTCCGCACTTTTTCCCTTCCGATTTGACTCGCTTTCTTTCTTCGAGTTGTGTTAGAGTTCTCAGAAATCGCCAGCAAGTGTGCTGGAAAGATGAGGACGGAACCCCAGGCAAAATGGTATTTGACTGCGGCGCAGCAACGCAGCCCCCGCGCACCCTCGATCGGCCGATTCTTATTGTGTAAGCGATCCGATCTGAATCGGCCGATCCTTATGAAGTATGGGGATACCCTTAATGATTTTCATACCCTGAACGCACTTTGCCTGTTTTACAAACCCTCATCTACCGCTTTGCCAGGTTTTGATTTGCTTGGATTTTCGAGCAGACAAATGTCAGATCGACAAATAATCAACATTTTTGACACTTACTAGTTTTTGCTTTCGACGCTTTAGCTCAAAAAACTGTAAACGGGTTCATATCTGTTTTGCTCACGGAAATAATGTCGTTTCTTTGCTTTGCCAGTAAAAATAAAATTTAGTTTAATGAGTTTCATTTTGTCTCAAGATACTTTACACTTTTATAATCCATCTCCATTTGATAGAGATCGTTGCAAGGGCTTTGACCACCACTGCACCTTCTAGATCTTGCTTCAAACAATTTATATCCTTTCCGGCACTCTCCAGCCATGCGCTAAGGGTATAAATTTGAAAAATCGCTGCAATACATTTGAAAAAGTGAAGTGTCAAAAATGGTTCCTGTCCACTTAATATCTATTTCTTAGCGCGAAAATTCGGGAAAATTCATAGATTTGGAAAAAGATGAATGAGCTTTTGTAAAGCAAGGAAAGCGTTTTTGGGTCTACACGTTATTAAACATCCAATTATGCGACTAAAATAGCATGGAGAAGAAATCACAGGAACTTATAAAAAAGCATAATAATATGGCATTAAGGTGCTCATTACAACAGTCCTTGTTTTCTTTATTGTTTTTTACTATCTTTGCTATTAGCGAGTTGTATAATTACACTTAATATTGAAATTTGAATTGGTAATAGAAAAACGGAATCATCTTTGTTTAACAATGTATTTTCTAATAGAGTCAATTCTCTGTACAGAATTTATTTACAAAATTTCAATTTTTTTGATCAAATTAGTCGAAAACAAATTCATCGCGTACATAGAGGGTTTCAGTATTCTTTTGAAGATATTACAACTTAATTATATCATTGTTCCTCCCTTCTCAAAGATTTTTTACTGCCATGCACTATGTAAGCCTCTTACTTTTTCACTCATACTACTCTTTTTGTTTGTGGTAAAATAGATATTTTTTGCTGTAAGGTACAAATCCTACTAGTCGTACTATACTACTCGAGAAATCTTGTAATTTTTTTGTTGCTATTCTTCTATCCCTAACACGAAACAATGGTTGAACATGTACAGAAATCGATCAATACCT